TGGGATAAGGTGTTAGGGTGGGGATGGGCAGATGGGTTTGGTGCTAGGAATGAGGGGTGGTGTGGATGGAGCTGGGGGTGAGGTGTCTGGAGCCTGCCTGGAGAAGTGGGGTGTTGGGATATCAATAGGCTTCACGAGGATGGGAGAGCTGGAGAAGAAAAGGCTGGGACAGCAGCAGGCTGGAGGAAAGAAACCTGGGGTAGGTAGCTCAGTTGGGGAGGAGGAGCGTTTGTGCCTGTTGGAAGCTGAGAACTGCACGGCCTGGATGTGCTAAAAATTGTTGTATGGGGAAATAGCAGTCAGAATAGGGGTGGGCAAGAGCAAAGCTGAGGAGTTGATGAATCATGATCTTGCAGAAGTTTGAGCCTTGCTTTGAGACAGTCATTTATATGAAAAGACATGGGGTGGGATGAAATCTGTAAGTAGACTCTGACCTTTGAGTCCCAGCAGTTGACTGGGACTTCTCTTAGAAGAAGGTAGTCTAGAAGTCATGTGCTAGTAGTGAGAGCATAAAGTAGCAGCTTCTATTGAAAGTTCAGCTGCTGAAGAGATATTTGTTAGCTCACTAAAGGAAGAGATGGGTGTGCCGTTGGATTAATAGGAAACAGGAGAACCTTGCTTGTTCCCATCATGTTGGCAACAATCTTGCTATTTAGTAACAAGAATGGTTTGGGTCATGATGACATGTTCTTAAGTATACGAATATATAGACAGAAGAGATCTGTTGTACAGTGGCAGAGTAATAGGATGGCTTACTGCAATTCTGAATGGCCTTGCAGTGACACTTGCTCATGTGGTGAGTTATCTACCTCATGGAAAGGAGACTCCCTTACAAGTGCAAGGATGGCTGGAGCAGTTACTGTAATCTCAAGCTGTACTAAGTGGGCATACACAGTCCTTTTGTGTGCTTCTATCTGGTGGTTCTTGTTTCTTCAGTCCTTTTTCCCTCTCTCCTGAGGAAAAGGTATATGATGCAAAGTGAACAACTGTTGTTCTTATTTGTTTTTAGGAAAAAGTTAAATGCAATCAATGTCTTGTCCAAAACCCTTGCTGTTAGCTAATGACCGAATTCCTTTCCCAGTCCTTCTTTGCTTTAAAGACCCCTATCCCACTGCATTTAAAGACCGCTGTCCCACTGCATTTTCCCCAAAATCCAAGTCTAGGGAGCTCACCTTTTGTTGTGGTGAAAGTTTTAACAAGTAAACAGTTGCTTCCTATTACTGAAGGTATACTACATAGAGTATGCTGGAACTCTTGAAAGCAAGCTATTGTCTGGAACTCTTGAAAGCAAGCTATTGTCTGGAAGCCACAGGGATGCTTTTTGTGCAATGCTGTACTGGGAAGCAAAGTCTGAGTAGAGGCAGAGTAAAAGCATGAATTTTCTTACCTGTTCAGGCAGTCATACTCCATGATCACTTCTCATATGAAAGGGATGCATAGGAGAGATGTTTATGATATGCTGCAGCTTCTTAAAATTTGGTCACTTACTCCTGAAGAACGATCAAATCTACACTTCAATCCTACAGGAATTGAGAAGCCATGGGATTTTTTTTTCTAGCTGCATATGTGCTGTTACTAAAAAGAATACTTTTACATTTCTGACTCCAACTGACTCCAACTTTTGAGCATGAGTACAGGTCATTTTGTGGAATTGCTACTGGTGGATGTACTCTTAGCTAGTGCAATAGTGAAACTATGTCTTGGACTAAGAATATCTGTTTCTTTGGAAAAAAAAATAAATAGGTCAATGTGTACTAACCTCACAGAATTACTGACTTTTTGTAATCTTCCACAAATGTTTAAGTAATTTTAAAGAAGCTAAAGTAATCTGTGTTTTTTCTAATAGGTTTTTTTTCCCTCTTAAAAGGTGATGTGCTGAATATATCATACATATACAGAAATGATCCATGTCTCTAAGAGCTTTTTTTAAGTATGGTTTTCCAGGATTTCTGGAGCAGACATCAGTAATTTTCAGGGGCGTGGGGTGGTGAGGTGGGGAGTGGTGCACTTCCTGATACCATTGTTATTATTTTGAAAACACTTCATGTCATTTTTTTGAGAGGGCATGACAGAACACTTAGTCTGTGTTGAAAGCTTGCAATGAAACACCATCACTTCTCAGGCTGTAGAGATCTGGAAAGTAGTCTGGTTTAGAGCACATAACTACTGAAATGTGTCATTTTAAATGCCACTACAGCTCCCTAGGAGGAAGTTGTATGTAGCATTTAAACTGGTGGCCTGATACCTTGAAACCACAGTGGGTTTTTCCCAATGTTTGAGAATTTATAAAGCACATGAAGCATCCTATTCTGTAAATTATGATTAGCTTTGGACTTCAGCTACTTCTGTCCACTTGAACAAAATACTCCATGTTTTCTTGTATTGTTTTCAGGAAGCTTTTTATTTCTTTATCCTTTTTTTTTTTTGTAACTTATCCTGTTAACTTCTAACAGTAAGTGTTCCCACCTTGCTGCAAGTGTGTGATCTTGTTTTTTTCACTTCCTTTTCCCAACAATTCTTTATCAATGTAGGTATTCAAGTGTTTTAAATCTCTTTTGAATTTATCCCATTCAGCCTATAATGATTTCTGTAGTTCTGAAGTCTGTCTAGATTTTAATTTAAGTAATGACATGCACCTACAATAGTGTTTTATTTTTATAGAAGAGCTGCTGACCAGGAATACTAAGCTCTGTATCTCTAGACATGGTTCAAAAACTTTTGTTTTATGTTTGCCTAAGAGGATGTTTTTCATTTGCTGTCTGCTGTTTTCTGAGTCTCTTTCAGTGATTTAACAAATTCTCAGGTAAATTCTGCTTATCTTGGCAGGAGAAAAAATACTTTAACCTATGTTATTCTGAAATGCACTCAGGAGCACCAGCTACTTAAACAGTTGTATCATAAAGACAAGAGGCCTTAATTTCAGTCAAAATGAGAGGAGTTCTAAACAACTTAGGGAGGAAAAAAATATGCTATGGTTCATATAACTCCTAGGAAGCAGTAATAAGATTGGAATAGCAGATAGGCATCAATAGAGTTTGTAGAGGTGTGGAAAGTATGTGGTAAATTTTGGAAAATATTCCTGTTAGATGCAGAGGAAGGTTGAGTTATGAGTAGAAAGGAGACTTTAGTCAATGCTTAGGGCTAGACAATACACTTTGGTGTCTGTGGTTTTTAATAAAAAAAAACCAAACACCTAGCTCATTTGTACTTCTTCAGGATTTTTATGCGTCTGTGCCTTCTTCTGTTCTAACTAGTATATTGGGCAGATGCTGGTCAAGAGTGTAAATGGATAAATTCATAGTGATGTTTGACTTATGTGGCTTAATATTTTTTCAAGTTGAAAAAATATTAGAAAATGCGTACTTGTTAGGAACAAAGCTGTTTGTGTTAATATATTAACATATGTTTCAAATATGATAATGGTATTTTCCTTGTGTAGCTTGCATGTGAAACCTCTAGTTAAAATGCATGCATGACGAATGGGAAGAGGAGGGCAAAAGCTAGCAAGACCAGAGTCTTCAAAGTATAGAAAACTGTTTTGTTCAAATTCTTGATTCAAGTGTCAAAAGTGAATCTCTTTTTTGAAAAAGAGTAGCAGAACACTCTTTGAATGAGACCCCTATTATGAGTTGCATCTGTTTGTAGGAATTTCAGGAGATGTTTCACAATTGACTTCATGTTGCAGTCTCAATTTGTCCTGGTATCAAGTTAATGGCCTACCGTGAGAGGTGACCCTCAACAACAACTGAAAAAATACTTGTTGAAATTGAAGTTCCTTTACTGAAACATCACGATACAGTGTAGCACAAACTCAGTATTTATAAGTCCAAGAAGAAAATAAAAGGAGTAACACCGATTTTTGTGGCCTGTCAAACTCTTTACCAACCATTTATTTAGTCAGGTCTCAAAGTCGCTAATCTGTTTGATCATGGCGGAGCAGATGACACAGGATACAATTTTGCTCCTTTTGGTATCATCCCTGTCTTGGACTGCCATGATTCTTTTCTTTGTTCTCTAAAGAGCTAGGAAACCTACGTTGATCTAATAAATGCTGAAAGACAAGAAAAATAAGGCTATAGAATCAAAAAGGTACTTAAGAAACCACTGAATCTGTTTCTTAAAGGATGCTCTACAGAGAACTTTCTTTCCTCAAGGGAATCATTATATTTATATTTAAGGTTAAAGAGAAAACTGAAATAATGACAAGATGTTTTGCAACTTTTGTTAATAAATAATACACAAACAATCTTCTTGCTGCTTATACAGAAACCATGCCATTTTTGGGCCAAGACTGGAGGTCCCCTGGATGGAGATGGGTTAAAACAGAAGACGGATGGAAACGATGTGAACCCTTCAGTCCTGCACTTGAGGATGGGAACAATCAGCTGAATGATATCAGTCACACTGTGTAAGTATAAAAAAAAAAAGGTGATTCTGCATGAGTAATAGCAGTTAGGAAGACAGATTGACTCAATTTCCATCCAGACTGCAAGTGTTTGTGGTAGATGATATCATCTGCATATGCTAGAAGTGTACAAATGTAACTGTGTGTTTTGTTTAGTTAGGCAGACAGGAGACCCCTGTGGAGGATCTGTCTTTCAGATCCCATCTTAAGTTGTGTATCTTTAAAAATAAAAACTTTAAAAAAATCCAAACAAACAAAAAGCCTATTAAGCACTATTTAAAGGTAAAAGTGATGCTTATAAGTTGCAAGTGCAACAGGCATATTGAAATTTCTGCTGATTGGGTGTTTGATTGGGACTGTTTATGGCGGTCATATAATGCCTTTGCTCCAAATACACAATTAATGGTAGCTTCGTGGTAATTCCTTAACCCAGTATATGACTGTATGTGCTCCTGTGGAACAGGTGAGAAAGATATTAGTTAAATAGAGTAATACTTATGGCAGATGCCCACACACTGGTGTGATATAAGTAGCTTTGTCAAAACAAATTTCTACTTGGTTTCTCCAAGAAGAAGTAATTCTCAGGGATAGCGTTCTTGGTTATAAATTCCAGCATCATGTGCTCATAATGAGAAAAGGGAACATGCAGTGTTTTGTTGTTACTCCAGTAAATGATACAGTAACTGATCTGATTTAGAGGGAATTTACTGGCAAGCTAGCACTTGCTGTACTCATACACCTGTGTTTTCTGGATATGTGAAATAAACCTCGAGAGTTATCAAGCAGTGAAGAATTAAGTTGACTTACTGTTTTCTTTGTGCCTTTTTTCTTTTTGTATTCATCTGTCACTGATACTATTTGGACCTCTTTTTCCACACAGTCTGACCACTGTGGGTACAAAAGGCTATGCTTATCTGGAAGAGCATTCGTTAAACCTCCGATGTATAAGTTGTCTTAAATAACTCTGGAAAAAAAATCTTTTCTTCCCTCTTTCATGTATCTTTAAGATAGTTGGCAAATGAAAGGAAATCTAATTTAATTTTGATAGCTATTTGCACAGTTACTAAATAATTATATTTTGTAGGTTGCTTTAATGAATATTTTTTTAGCAAGTATGACATAAATGATCATTGTTTTTGTGAATATCATTAAGACTTTCATTCTTCTGATGCTAATTATATGTTGAGATATATTTATCTTTTCTCCAGAGAGGAAGGTGAGGTATTTTTATTGCTTCTTCAAGCAAAAATGCTAGATTTTTTTTAATCTTGGTCTTGAAAGAACTTAGTATTGAACTCCTCTGGAGTTGTCTTGCTAGAAATAGATATAAATCAACAGTTTGTGGAAGGATATGAGTATTAAAGTTCAAAACTAAAATAGGTACATTAATTTGGAGGGACTGGCCATGAAATGCTCTGGGGGGAAAAAGTATTCATTAAATCTCATGTGTTTCATGAATTGAGTTTCTGAGGCTAGCTTGCCAATTTGGCAGAATCTTGGACTTGGGGACCAACCTAGTCTGCAGCAGATGTCCTCATCTGTAGCAATTCCCCAGTTCCTTATCTTCATCTTGCACATCTCCTACTTAGTGAAGCCAAACCACACCATATTTTTAGTAGGCTACAATAGTAGCCCTATTTTTATTTTTTTTTAATTCTGCTCCTGTCTATTCAGTTAAAAAATATATGCTGTCCAAACTTAGACTACGGAATTCAAGTTGGTACTTCTTGGCAAATTGGAACTTTGGATCTATGACTTAGCCTTTGCTGCTAAACAGCAATTAATGTTTACTTGCACAATATTATAGAACAATTTAGTGTGGAAAGTACCTCTGGGGGTCATCTGGTCCAAACACATGCTCAAAGCAGGGCCAGCTGTGGTCAGGTTGTATAGGGCCTTTCCCAGTTGAACTTTGTGCATTTCCAAGAATGGAAATTCCTCTCTGGGCTCCTGTTCCAAGTTCCATTACCCTCACTGTGTTTTTTTTTTTTGTTTTGTTTTGTGTGTATGTATGTTCATATCCCCTTCCCATCCTATTAAGAATTTCTCTTATCACAGCTTGTGTCCATTACCACTTGACTTATTACTGCCCACCTCCTCTAACCTTACAGTCTAGCTCTGTCTTTTTTATACCCTTGTGTTAGATATCAGCACTAATCAGATTTCCTTCCACCACCACCACCTCTTAACACTGAACAAGCTCAGTTTCTTTTACTCTTGTGCATCGTGCATTCCAGTGCTTAATCACCTTGGTAACTCGTCACTGGACTTGTTCCAGTGTGCCAATATTTTTATTGTATTGGGAAACCCCAAACTAGGCACAGTACTCTGAATGCAGTTTCTCATGCCAAATAAAGGGGGATGGTTACTTCTTTCAGTCTGCAGGCTACACCAGACCAGGGTGCAGTTGGCTTTCTACAGCACAAGGGTAAGCTGCTGACCTGTGTTCCGCTTCTTCTCCACAAGACCCCTGTCTCCTTTTCTGCAAAACTGCTTCCCATTCAGTCTGTACCCAACATATACCCAGGCATGGCGTTATTCTATCCCATGTGCAGGGTTTCGTATTGAAGTACAGCAGTGTATTGTGTCTTGCTGGCTAGTTCTCTGTACAATCTTAGAGTCAGAGAATGGTTTGGGTTGGAAAGGACCTTAAAGATCTTCTAGTTCCACCCCCGCCCTGCCATGGGCAGGGACACCTTCCACTGGACCAGGTTACTACAAGGCCCATCCAACCTGGCCTTGAACACCTCCAGGGATGGGGCATCCACAACTTCCCTGGGCAACCTGTTCTGGTGTCTCACCACCCTCGCAGTAATGAGTCTTAAGCTATTTGGAAACAATTACCTGAGTACATTGAATAGACAGCTCAGCTTAGGATATCTGTTAACATGATATAGCAGTGAGTAAGGGTGAGGCTCAACAAAATGCTTCCTTCCTTGTGGAAGCAGCATGTAGTAAACAATACATAAGTATTTGTCTCTTTGTAAACTGCCCTGTGAATAGGGATGATGGTATATGCTAGTCTGGCTGTCCTAACAGGGTTTTATTTATTTTCACTCATTAAATGAAATAATATTTTTCAGCAAAATACTCTGTAGAAATCTATGCTAAAGGTAGTACTTGAGTATTGTGTTTAGGGGAGCAGTTATGGCAGTCTTCCTTTAAAAAGAAATTCAAGCTATGTAGTTGGCTGAAACCCTGTTTACTATTACTTGTATTCTCTGCTGTGAGAGAAAGTGTGGATGGAGTTACTTGCTAAACTTTGTCTTAATTACAAATCCTTTCCCTTCAGAAATTAAAAAGACCTGCTCATAAACACATTTCGAAATAAACCTTGAAGACATGTAAATACCTTGCGTAAATTGAAGGATATGTTTTTATTAAAATAGAACTTTTTTACCTTATTCAATTAGACATCCAATGCCTTGGTGAATCCAATTGATAAATCAGTTAAAAATTGTGGACCTAATGATAAACTGTTCCTGCACAAGTGGTTATGTTTGCTCAAGGCTGGTTAAGTGATGTGGAATAATGCTTCAACAGTTGCACTTTAAATTATTTCCATTTATGGAAACTGAGATGAAAAAAAGCAAGGCAGTTCTGTAGCTTTTACTTATTTGGATAATTAATATTATATAAGCAAAGAGTGCCTTGTATTCAAAGCATACAGTAGCTGGAAATGTGGTTGCAGTAGTGCATTTGAGCTCTGTGGGCTGAATGCTGGCCATGACTACCTGCAACTTCCACCTATAAATTCTAGCATAGATATATATTTCCAGTGCCATGGCACTGTCCTTGAAGCTGGGTGGGGAAGAGAGAATAGCACTACCTTACGGAATTGTATGGAAATACCTCTCAGGAGCCTGTGATTTAGGAGTAAAGCTGTCTTACACTTACCCTTTGAGGTAAAAGAATCAGGCTAATTTAAGATTTTCCTGATGCTGATATTCCTTTGTGTGTTAAACTAATATGAACTAGTTGGGCTGGCAGGGTAGTCATTTGAGTCTGCAGTGTCTCTTGTCTAATTCTGTAAGTCAGATATGGTGTTCAGAAAAGTGTTTATCACACTGGATAAAAGTCCTTTGTTTTAAATCTAGTCTTAGATAATTTTGGCATTTGACAAATATATTGTAACATTGTTTGGTGCAGGCACTTAACCTCAGGATTTTCCGTGCATGGTCAAGCTGTAAATGGCTTTGAGTCTCTTCTAAGACACTTAGTGTGTCTGTGTAGGTGATTGCATGACTTGAGGGCATTCCTCCTCCATTAGAAAAAAAGCAAGGAGATGAGGAAGAGTAGTTGGAGTTCGGATAGGCCTGCAAAGTTTTCCAGCACTTAAGGTGTCATACCGAAGAGGTTATTCAAATACTGCCATGAAATTAATTTTTTGAAAAAGCTGAAATTATTGCATGCTTTATATAGGGTATTGTAGTTCTAACGACATCAGGTACTTTGCTTTTAGAAGCTTTAGAATATTTTTTTATGGAGGGCATCGTAAAGATGAGAAAGTAAGAATAGCTGTAAATTGGCAGTATTAGATATATATTTAAATCCTTCCAGGTGCTCTCAGATGTCACATGCAGTATTATGGTAAAAATATTAAATTAAGACTTCTGTTATACCGTATGGCATGTGCAGCACTTGATTTTGTTTCTTGTGTCTTAGCTTGGTGTTTGGGAGGGGTGGGGAGGGAAGGGTTGCTTTTGGAAATGGTGGAGCAGCTTTGTTACTTATCAAGTAGCTTGCCAAATTTCTGGAAGAAAGGCTGGGGGAGTGCCTGTATCTCTGTCCCATTCTTCTGATGTCTCTGGGACCCTGGCCTTCATTGTCGGCAAGAGACTTAAAGTTTGTCAAGAATGGTGATGGATAAGTAGAGAAAGACTCTCCACATTAAGTGGGAGAGAACGTAAGGAAATAAAGCTTCGTATGAGAAGATTTTCAGAGAAGTCAAATTTGTCTTTTCTCTAAAATGACATGCAGAATTCCATGAAAGTCACAGGTGAATTTGAATGTCAGACAAAAGTGTTTGAAATAGCCCTCTTCATCTTAATTCTTCATCGACTGTACTTAAGCTACCTTGCTTGTTTATCTGATGCTTGAGGAAGTGTATATTACTAGGGGGCAGTGGTGGGCTTTAAATAACTTCAGGTATGTTACTGGTCTAAGTTGCTTTCTAGGGACACTTCCTCTCCAGGAACAAAAGAAGGAATCCTGCCAGATTAAGATTAACCTTCCTCTTCTAAAGCTGGCCTTCAGGAATGCTGCCTTCCCTCCTCTCCCCATTGCACTGGGTCAATCGGAATGGGCGTGTTTCTGTTCTGCCTGAGTTATATTGCAGAGTGTCAGCCGGTATCTCAAGTCTTGTATCTGTTGTTAGGAAGATAAAGCTAGGTCTTGGAGCTTTGTGCTCTGTTTCCGGTTCTCCAGTAACTTCTCATGTGTTGCAGCAATCCACTCAATAAGCTAAAGCATAATTAATGATTTTAGTTGATGTTCTGCTTTTGTCAGTTGCTGGTTCCTTTTCTCCAAACTCTTGCTGTTTGACCAGATATCAATATTCTATGCAACATTGCCAGATATGAAGTTGTTGAGTCTTTATCCTCTGCTTTAAAAATGGTAAGACATGAACTAAGGCCCTCTTCTTCCATAGACCTCTGTCTGAATGCAGAGGTATGTTAGCTTTTTTCCAGGATTTAAACTGAAGGTGAAAGCAACTTTCTATTTCTGAGTATTCTCTACTTGTGTATCTTTAAGCTGAGCTAGCATTTGCTGATTAGAGTGATTAAAAACCCAAAGCTTTTCTGTGGTGTTGTTTAGTCATCTTCCTTAACATATGGTTCAAGCCTTAAAATTTTAACTGTAAACCAGTAGCAATAAATTAGTAAAACTTTATTTTTGCAACTTAATGCCCAAGTACAGGTTGTTTTTGAATAAGCTGGTATCCTTCAGTTTTACAGTGTTCAGCTGTTGCTCGTGCAATTTGAAGTTCAAACTGATATTGATAGATTCATCTGGCAAATGCAGTTTAAAACCAGCAATGAATGGGAAGGGTTTTGTATACAACTTTCTTGTCAAAGAATAATAATGGGGAAATAAAGTAGTCCTACAGTTAGGCTTCACTACTATGTATCCTTAGTTATTCTGGTTATCTGTGCAAGACTGTGGCCTTCATATGAAGTATCTTCCTGTGGAAAGGAAAATGAATACCTGTTCTAAGCTGTATTGCTGTTCCTTACAATAATTTGTAAAAATGGAAAGCAAAACTTTTATGAAGCTGTGTAGACTTTATGTAGCACAGGCAGTTTTTAAGTGTAGGTGAATTTTAGAGAAGTTACTTTATCTAACAAAACTTTAATAGTTTCTTTATATATGTTTTCATATATATATACTCACACTATCTGTATATACACTATATAAAATTATTCAGTGTAGTCCTCAGTGTTGGGTTACATAGTTAACTGTCAGAAGTGACATAGGTATAGCTGATCCTCTCTGGGAGAGAGGAGGGTAGACCACATGGTTCTTGATGCCATACAAGTCATTGGCAAAACATTATTGTGACACCTATGTTGCATAGTGTTGTGATTCAGGTATTTATTAGAAGAAAGGCTTTCTTTGCCCGGAAGCTGACAGTAGTAAGAGATGTCTTTCTTTGCTGGCTTTCCGCCTATGTAGTAATTCTGCACTGACTTGCCTGTGTGCTCAGCTTTTCAAGGTTTGGCCTATTTCAAACAATGAATTTTTTTTTACACCAGAGCTTTGCAGATAGCCAGCTGTCCAATTAGTACTGTCTTCTCAGTAGTCCTTCCTAAATGTCAGTAGTAACTCACAGGATACCTATTAGGAATATACTTTGTGTCAAAGTGATTAAATACATAAAAATTCAACCCCACTGGGAAGAGCAAGACAGCTTTTCTCTTAAGATATGTGTTGCTATAGACGATCAGGTAGAGGAACATCATTAAAAATATAACTATTTTTTCCCAGTTGGCAGACTTGATTGCAGAGGAATTATAAGATGTATGCATGTTAAATTCTTAATCACTGCTGTTCTAATTAGATATGTTTATTTCAGCATCTTAACTGGTGATGATGAAGATGAAGAAATATACAGTACTGAAGATTGCGAGTTTGCAGCCAAGAAAAGGAAAAAAGATCATTTCAGGAATAATGCAGATTCACAATGTAAGGCTTGGGATTTTTTCATTTATTTTAGAAGACTCCTGTAGGTACAGCAAAATTTTATAATATTCATCTATAGAGTAGCCTTCTGAGTTGTTTACTTTTGTATTGGCAACAAATTCTGGTGTCAGAAGTGATACATCTTAACGGAACTGGGGCATTGATCATCTGTTGTGTGATTTTTTTTTTATTTTTTTTTTCCAAAGATCCAAATAAAACTCATTTAAGAATAGTAATTCCCAAATAATAAATGCCTTCTGATACTAACCACTTTTGTTGACTAGTTCTAGATTCAATTCCGGATGCTTATGGAAGCTTTTGCTTAACCGAAGCAGATGTTTTATTTTTGCTTAATTCAAATTCTGATTAGTGTTACAGCTCTAGAATCAGTTCATAAATAAATATATTTTGTTATAATACCTGTAACTCTTGGTAGAAGCTTTATCAGTATTGAATTTCTTGAAAATAGTCCCTTTTTAAAGAAAAATCAATTAAAATATCAAAGCTACTTTTGTGAGTTCTCTTTTTTTAAAAGATCACCTGTACTTTAAACTGCAAATGTGTGTATGACAGCAAGTAAACTTATTGAGGTGGAGAATTTGGTAAAGCAGGTTTAAAAAAAAAAGGTAAGCTGATAAGCAACTTTTTGGTGTTTCTAATGCTTTGATCTTGAAATGATCTCCATTATTTGTATGTTCCCAAAATTGTAACAGACATGGTCTTGCAGAAAGCTGTAAGCTTCTCCAGGCTTGTCTGGGTGTAAAGTATTTCAAAAGATTCAAGTGGCTGTATGTAAGAGCATGCTTTCATTTGATGACATACCAGACTTCTGAAAGCTGAAGGTCTGCCTTGTTGCCTTTGTTAGTCTTGTATAGTTCACTTCCCTGCAGCATTCTGCATCTAGTTGAAGCAAATGGATGCAGAGCAGGCACCTTTACAGAAGAAAATAGATTAGAGGGGGGGAGTGTTCGGAAAGAAAAAGGTTGCTCATTTCTGTGCTTTCCTGTGTTAAATGCTAAGGAGCCTGTTGGATTAAAAAAAGATCAGGGATTTTGTAGGAGAAATTGACTGTTGGTGGTGCACTGTTGACAAAAGTTGTGCTACTTCTGCCAATTGCATGCCAACTCTTGCATTTGATTTATAAAATTATTTAACTTTTCTTTTGTCTTTTGAAGTACATAATTTCTGAAAACTTGCAGTCATCCTCTTCAGCCTTTATAAACTTCCTTCCTTAGAACTGCTCTACCATCTCTTCTATCTTATGAAGCATTTTATTGAGGATGGTCTGTTTTGTTCAATTACTTTCCAGAAGGCATTACTTAAAGTGGGAGCCTAAAAATTCTTATATTTTGATTTTTATTTTAGGTTTTTATCGTGAAAAGTGGATTTATGTTCATAAAGAAAGCACCAGGGAAGTAAGTCCTGCATGCTGGGGGTCAATTCCTACAATCTTTGTGCTGCTTAATTGACAAATAGTATATTAAAAAAATGCATTTCTGCAGTGTTGTCTTAAGGTTTGTATTCGGCTCTCTTCATTGGCAGTGTAGTACTCCTGCATGTGGTGAGGCAAAGTCAGCTAGCAAAGTGACTTTTACATGGGTTACTGTGGCAGAGATGTGGGAATTTGCAAGCATAGACATAATAGTTCTCTACTGCTCTTCCAAGTCCGTCTGTCTCATCTGTATTGTGTGTCCTTGAAATAAAATTGGAAGTATTTGCAAAACCAGAGTAATGTCCCCAAGGAGCGTGTCTGCAGGCAGCTGCCTGATATTTTGGAATCTTGGTGTCAATTTGAGTATAAGTAAAACTTCAATTTCAAAGTTTACAAAGAGGACCCTTGTATTCCACAAAGTCCAGGTGCTTTCAGTTTGGGATACAAACTGTATCGTGCAACTGTAAAGGGAACATGAAATATCTTGGAATGACCTCTTGGAAAGCCAGGAGTTAAATACATCCATTGTATATAAAAGAAGCTGTCTTAAGTTTGAGTCTCATTCCTGTGTGGATTCCCATGGTTATCTGGGATGGGTGGAACTTGGACACCGTAAGGCTGTCTTTCATCCACAGTAATGCCAGCCAGGGGAGAGGGAAGGATGTGAGTGTGATGGCCCCTAGCCAGACAGGCAAAAGTTGGCTTTGCAGTTTAGAGCTGAGAGAGACCATAAGGCACTCTGTACTTGGGAAGAACATGGTGTTGTGGAGAAGAGCTTACATAGAGGAGACACTGGAAGACTTCGCCTTGCAGGCCAGTGACCTGGAGGCTGCTCTTCTACGTCTGAAGCATATTACAAAGCCTTTCACCAGATTCATAGCCCTCTTTCCCAGTTTTATATTCATCTGTGATAGATGTAGTTATTTACATTGGTCTGCAAAAGTCTTAAGCATGCTTTTTGTGCTATCTCAAATTTAGGGTAAGAAGGAAGCGGGGATGACAGGCTTTCATGTTATTATGGTGTTTTGAATGATAAGCCCAGTTTTTTCAAACTACATTCAGGCCGAAATACAAGTTGCCTAAAATCACTCATTGCTGTCTTTCATAACCTGTCTGGGATTTTTTTTTTCCCCTCCCACTTGTGAAGAAGTTGGTGTACTAATGATGTGTGATTATGTGCTTGGATATCTTGTCCATTCAGAAAGCAGACAAAATATTCTGGTATACAAATTAGCTTATTCTTGTCACTGCTGTTGTCTTCTAATTGTTGACCATTTGTCTTTCCTGTTTGCTTTTTTAAAAAAAAAAAAACCACCACCAAAACCAACAAAACAGGGATGGTTAGAATTAATCAATAATCTTTTTCAAGTAATTCCTTGTATAAATTCAGAAGCTTAGAGTAAAAAGTTAAGTAGCAGAATGGAAAAAGTAGCAAGGAATAAGCATACTTGAACCAAAAAATTCAGAGCAACAGTTTAAGTTAATCTAAAAAATAATTTACAGAGGCTCAAGTCTTTCTTGCAGGTTGTAAACTTACTTAATTTCGAAATGGCTGTCTTGCAACTAGGAAACTGTTTTTCCAAACTGGATACTGAATTTTAGGGCAAACTGACAAGAGTAGGAAGGTCTTGATAAACATGTGAAACATGCTATAAGAGAGCACTGAAAATAAAGAAAACCAAAACAAGTGCAAGTATCTAGTTGAAATGAAGTAGGAGATGCTCTTTGAGTAATTTTGTCATGATGATACGTTGGGGAAAGGTATAACTGAATCTTCTTAGAAATGTGCTTCCAGCTGTTCAAGGGAGTTATCATGTTGATGCATTTAACCGTGGCCTTTTGATAACTGTTAAAACAGAGAACAGCCACAAATATTTAAATTTCAATAAAAATTTTGTTGCCTGCAAGTGTTAATTCACTGTTATTATCCAACCAAGTTGTGCATACTGTAAAGTGTGCAGCATGCTTGGCTCTCAGGTATATAACTGGATGAGCAAGTAGTATGACCCTGAATTTAGTCATTAACCAATAGGCAGTAATTACCATCTCTCTGCAGTGAATAGTTAACTGTCTCGTATGGTACATCCAGGTAACCTTTCACTGGATTGCAAAAAGCAACATTAAGTTGTACTGCCATCTTTTTACCATCACGTAATTCACCGAGGAAGTCTATCTAGGAATGAACTTCAAATTATTATTTATTCCTCTCCTTCCCTGGGCTGATAAGCCATACTAGCACACTGCTGTCTGCAAGCATCTCTTTCACTAGTAGTAGGGTTTTCCTAGCCTTGCTATGTTTACTCCAAGGCTCCTGTGTGGCTTTGTGGCTCTAAATTTACTCCTCTTATGTGATCCCATGTCATTTCAGGCTGCTGCTGCCACCTTAAGTAGTTCCACAACAGTCTCTGAAATTTCCGTTTTCATCTCAAGAGACCTATGCAGAAGCACCAAAAGAGAATGCAACTTTTCTTGCTCTTAGTAACTAAGAATAATTGTGCCTGAACTTCTGGTACCCAGAAAATAAATTCTAGATGTTGAGACCATTTGTTCTTCCAATCCCAGGAGCAAGCAGCTGTGTTCTTAACCTCTAATGTGAACATAAACTCAGTCAGTTAATGCTTATGGTTGTAAGCTCAGACTGCTGCACAAACAAGCTCTACCTTGTGTTGAGGCAAATGAGAAGTATGATAGCCATGAGAAAGTGCTAGCACCGTGGCCATGCAGTAGTGAAGTAGATTCCCAGGACACTTAGATACCAGTGATTACAGATTGCATGATTATTATGAATTTAAAGGCCTTGCTGTCAAGTAATATTTCCTATCTACCTGTTAATTCCAAATAGCTTATCTGGTTCCATTTGTTCTACAAGAAATTAAATAAGTCTTCAGTCCAGATACATTATATGTCCAGGGAGCATGGTATACATAAGTGTCAGTTGCGTGGCAGAGTGCTTTTCTGAATATTTTCCTCAATTTTATCTTTGTTTCTTTCCATTTAAAGTGTGTTTATTCTTATTCTCAGAGACATGGCTACTGCACTTTGGGAGAAGCCTTTAACCGCTTAGACTTTTCAAGTGCAATTCAGGACATCAGAAGGTTCAATTACGTGGTCAAAGTAAGCTCTTTATTTTACATGCATATTTTAAAAGTGCAGTTGCTGATGTGCTTAGTGTGCAAAAGAAATCATTTGGCACTGAACAGCTGATGATTTGTGACTGTATAAATATCCTGTTCATATGTAATTCCTACTGCATGAAGCAACTTTAAACTGAGTAATTTTTCTTTGGTGAAAACTCGTTATATTGCTCTATGAAAGCCTATAGCTTGAGGACGATTGTGATGGCCAGTGTGCTATGCATTTACAGGGAAACACTGATAGTAGTTTCAGTTGTTGTTCATCAGTTCTGGGTAGTGAAGTCTCTTTAAAGACAAAATAATTCCTATACAACCAAAGCTAGCAAAGTGTAGTACATCTTAAATATACTGTCTTAAATATGCATAAAATAGCAATTTCCAGAAGAGTATTTGATGTGTAAATATTCTGCAGTTTCTGTTTCTTCTGCAGCTTCTTAACAGTCCTGTGATTCGTTGCATTTTATTTATTTATTTTTATCTAGGACAACACATCTATGTATTTACCTTTGTTAACATCCCTTAAAACAACACTCCAGCTTTTTCAGTCTTCCTTTCTTTGTCTTCCAGAAATGAGTTATTGCAAGTTTTCTTTTATAAATACTGTAGTGACATGAAGTCTATAGTAACAATTACGGTATACTAATCTCATGATTCCTTGGAAAGTCCCTTTCTCACTATGTTAATTTCTCTGGGTCAGGTCTAATCTTAAATTGAGAATCAAGTGCATGGAACCTGTAGGTTCTGGACAGTAGTGCTATCTGCCTGTTTTCCAGAACTATGTAACTTTTACTTTAGAGAGCTCCACAACGTTATGCCTTAAATTCTTTGATGCCTAACCAGCTGCCCACTTGTAAATACTTGTTCTGGGAGATACTGGTCTTTCTGTCTAGTCCCAATGGGGTTTTTTTGTCATTTAACTTGAGGTAGTAAAGTGCTTGTCCAAACTCCTAGAGAAGCTCAAAATGTGAGACATATCAGGACTAGAGTTCAGCTCAGTGGTGAGGCTGTTCACAAATAATGTAGTGGTTGGAACGTATCCAGAGCTTGAAAGGACACAAATCAAAATTAAATAAACATACCAGGAGAACACCCTTGCCACTAGGCCATGGAGTATTTGGAGAGAAAACACATTCTAGCCATCCTTGTGAAGCTGAGACAGTGTATTATACTGCCAGAAAAACAAAGATGCGGGACCAAAGGAAACAAAGCAAAAAGGATTTGCTTCCAGGCTAGTGGTTAGGGTACTTGCCTATTTTATTCACCTTGCAGATTTTTTGGTATATCTATGTATTGTGGTTTAGAACATTGCTTTTTAATGCTGTTTTGGGAGCAGAAACAAGAACCGTGGTCTTTTGCAAGATCTTTTGGTCTCAAACAGTAGGAACAAAAAAGAGCACCTAAAAGAGATGAATCGTGTTATAAATGGGGTCAACCTTGAGCACCTCACTTGAATGGTAACCAGGTAGAATGAATCCAGAACTAGAACCTTACATGATTTTTAGATGCTGCAGTTCCTATGCTGGGTTGCTGAAAACAGTTGATCAGAACAATATGCAGTCTAACATAATCACATTGACCAATTTCCCTTCTGTTCGAGAAAAAACATAAAATGGTTGGTTTAGTTAGCCAGGCTTAAGATTGTTGAGAAACTAGCAATACTTTAAAATTCAGAAACTTGGCTTTGTGATCCAAACCATTACTAGAGTAAGGTAAACACCAAGAAATTAGGGTGGGTTTAGAATAGTGGGCAAACTTCCAAAATCCTTTTAGCATTTTAGAATTTACTTGATTTTTTTTTTAAAACTTTAGAATTGTTTTACAATTACAAAAAAATTATATCTCTGCATTAGTTCATCTGAGGTGATGGAAGCAAACTGACTTTTATCAACAGGTATAGAAAGTGCACATCTAAGACCTTAAGAGTTACTGAGCTTCTAATAAACATGATCGATATGAATGACAGCTGCTGCTCATTCTGTAACTGTAGAACTTGTTGACTTGAGAAACATTTGGGGTGTTGCAGCTAATAAATTAAAACATCTGTGTGGATGTCAGTAATATGCAAAGTTGCAACAGATTTTTAAAAAGGATGTTTAATCTGCTCTATTGGGTCTTAAGCCAGTCTGCAACTGAGACCTAATATAAGAAGCCAGTCATCCCATACCCATCTGCTTTATACAAGTTCATATTTCCCTGAAGTTTCTAATGGTGGAGATGTTCTGCGCAGATCTCATTTAATGCAGTGCAGCAGTTCTTATTTCTTCTCCTCTAAGGTTTATTCCTAGTTATGAATGAATACGATGATGATTAATTTTATGCATGGTGTTCTGCTTGTTGCATTTAAGATAGCAAGATATAAATCAAGAAGACGGTTTTTAGATACCAAGCCCTACTAGATAGCTATTCTTTGATCCCACACCACCAAGGTGATCCATTTTGATTCTCCAGCCAACTAACAACCTCCCAGTCATTATTAAAAGTTAATATAGATGTCTGCCCAGGACCCCTGTGGGAGGAGGAGGGTAGGATCAGCTGTTTTCCTGCACTTGTTTGTGGTGTAGTATAATGATCATGTCTTAGCTGTTAAATGTCTGATACATTGAGTTTGATATGGGTGGTATTTTTCCAAAATGTTTCCATTTGAATAAACAGTTGATCCATTCAAAGTTATAATCTCTAGTAGACAACATAAGCCATGGCTATGCATGTATCAGACTGAACTTGTGTCAGATCCTTGTACTCATGCACCTGCTAAAATTGTCTTAATCCTTGCATATTAACCTTCACTGAATTGGAATCTTCATTCAAATGAGCCAGGTGGAATTTGTTTCTTTGGTTTAATCTTTAGTCTGAGTGAAATAACTGATTTTTTGTTTTTAATTAATCAAGAGAAATGTAAATACTTGCTTGAATTGGCAAACTGCCAATTGGCAAACTTGGCAAAATTGCACAATTGGCAAACTACCTCTACGTGTGCTCTAAATTATTAATCAAACTAAAAGGCTTTGAAAACGCCAAGGAAGAGGTCCTGATATCTAGTCTCAAAAACTGTATAAATAGATTGCTTATATTTAAATACATCAGGAGAATTATTTCCTCCTTTCATAGCACATAATGTTTTGTCAGGGATCATGCAGAGAAGCCAGAAGGAACATTATTAAATCAGGGAGAGAACAGGTGTATTCTCTCTTCCTCCAAAGGAAAATTAATGTTGAGTGTAGTGTCAAATCAGTGTTTTAGAAATGAAGATACAAAATAATTTTTGGCAGACTTAGTCTTTGTTAACCCTGTGTGCCAATAGTTGATGCTGTCCTACAAAGCACGGCTCTGCAGGTTAGTGTTTCGAGCGCTCTGTAGGGGATGCTGGTTTCTGCTCCCTGCTTTCCCTTTCTGATGTATTGAGAAGACTTGGTCTGAACTCAGCATTATGAATTGCCATTTTAAAGCTCAGTGCCACACTTCTAAACATTGCAACACTGCCGTAACATCAAAGTCTCTCTTACAGTTCATATGACGAGACCACTTATTGTTGAAGAAGCAATTGTCCTTGCCAATGGTCCTTACCAGCTACAAAACAATCTAAAATGTAAAAGCAAAGGTTTCAGAATGGAGCAAGGGCTGCCTCCAGCAGCTAAAGCTTGGCATTCATGTGCAGCAAGAACTTAAGCTATTCTGGTTACGTTCCCCTAAACCACTCCCACTGTTTTTGCTGTTCTTCTATTCACAGGAGACCCAGAGAGAAACATGTGGACTGTTAGGAGATGCTTACTATATAGTTAAGGAAAAGTTACTAATACAGTATGTACAGGTCTCATTATTAGATTACTGTGGTTTCTTCTACCAGGGACCTGAATGTGGGAGTAATACACAGAGATTTTTCTTCCCCTCCCCCCAGTTTAGGTAAAATCTAGCATTACCCCTCCATGAGCAGAAAGTAGTGCACTAAGTCCATCACACCTCAATTTGACCAGTATGATACTTTCACTCAGAAATTGGAAGTCTGGTGGTTGGTATCAGTTCACAGGGGTGTTGCTGGCCACTAAATCTGTTAGGGGGTTTAGGACCTACCCACATCAAAGACCACATTTCATAGAATGGTTTGGGTTGGAAGGGACCTTAAAGCTGATCTAGTTCCACCCCTCCTGCCATGGGCAGGGTCACCTCCCACTAGACCAGGTTGCTCAAAGCCCCATCCAACCTGGCCTTGAATGCTTCCATGGATGGGCCATCCACAACTTCTCTGGGCACTTTGTTCCAGTGTCTCACCACCATCCTCAGTGAAAAATTTCTTCCTAATACCTAATCTAAATCTCCCCTTTTCCTGTTTGAAGCCATTACCCCATGTCCTATCACTACATGCCCTTGTAAAAAGTCCCTCTCTAGCTTTCTTGTAGGTCCCCTTCAGGTAATTGGAAAGCTGCTGTAAGGTCTCCCTGGAGCCTTCTCTTCTCCAGGCTGAGAGCCTATTTGTGAGCCTCCAAACAGTCTCCCTCCATTGTTTCATTACACCTTACAAAGACTCTATCACAGAGATAAATACAAGTATTTGTGTAGTAGTTTGAAAACGTGCATCTCTTCATGAGTTGTTCATGGGATGCCAGTGGGAGTGCCTAAGGCTTTCTGCATTTGTCTGGCTTTGTTTTCTGAACTCTCTAGTTGTGTTTTCATGAAATATGGTTGCAGTGCTCTAGGCTGTTTTAGGTGAATGTATGTACTGAAAGTGTGTATTTGAAACCATCCTTTACTTCTGTCATTTGTATGAGTTTTAATTCTTTGTCCTAGCTCTTGCAGCTAATTGCAAAATCACAGTTAACTTCACTGAGTGGTGCAGCACAGAAGAACTACTTTAACATTTTGGACAAAATTGTACGGAAAGGTAAGACCTAAGGTTTTGTAATCTGCTTGTTCTGATCTAATCACTGTGACTAAGCTCTCAGTTGATTTTTTTTTTTGTTAGCTTTATTACCATTTTTAGTGTAAGACAAAGCAATAGCATATTTAATTAATGAAATGTTTCCTATTTTCCGTCCCACAGTTGCAATAAATTGTTTTCTCTTGATTATTGAATCATATTTGTTGAAACAGATTGGTGAAGTCAAATGCCAATTAGATTCTATTCAGAAACTATTGGTTACTATTAAATTATACTCTTTATGAAATGTGACAGCTTTTAGATTAGTAACGTTTGTTTTTCAGTTTGCAGGATGTACTGAGATTTAAAATACATAAGTGCTTTTCTTTATTCTTTATTAAAAGAAAAGCTATTGCATAGTATTGGGGGAAAAAAATTGTCTGGTAACCACACTAAATGGAGATGTAATACTGTCTACTTTGAACAGAAGAAATCAGTTTCATAACTAGATGTTTGTCATTAAACTTATTAAATGTATAACATGAAATGTTACATCAAATTTGTCTGTGAAATTGTTAATTATTGATCTTGTACTTATGGAACAGTGTTAATGAATATCATGGTGGGAATTAGGGCAGCTATTTATACATGAACAGTTGAATTGTGATTAGTCCATCTAAAAAAGTGTTGATTAGCTCGAGCTAACTGTATTAGCTTGGTTAACTCAGTTAACCAAAATTGCATTTGTTTTGTTTTCTAGTCATGGAAGACCAATATAATCCACGATTAATCAAAGATCTTCTACAGGATCTGAGTTCTACTCTCTGTATACTGATTAGGGGAGTAGGAAAATCTGTGTTGGTAGGCAACATCAATATTTGGATTTGCCGATTAGAAACTATCCTTCTGTGGCAACAACAACTAAAAAACCTTCAGATGAACAAGGTACACTATTAACTCATGTGGAAAAAAGTAATTGGGGGAGGGGACTTATATTGAACACTGGGTTATGATTTGTAAGTGAACAAAGTTTCAAATAAATCTTCAACAGTTTTACTTGTTGTCTTTGTTTTTAGAGAAGTAATATGAAATTAATAAAATGGAATCAACTTAATTTTCTAATGTTTTAATAGCTCTTCTCTAATGAGGGCTGCTACAGTGCCTGTACTGCTGGTTTGTGGTAGAGATGTATAGATGTAATTTTTTTTCTCACCCAAATAAATTTCAAAACATTTGTTTCTAGATTGTCAGATAGAGATGGAAAAAATACCAATTTTTAATTCCAAAGTAAATGTTCTACTAAAGAAATAAAAATCTAAAAGGAATTTTAGAGATGGATCAAAAAAAAAAAACCCAGAAATAAAATATTCAAATAGCAATCTTACAGCTTTATTCATTAGCACAGTTGCTTCTTGTAAAAAAAAAAGGTTAATGACTTCAGCATTTGATCATGCGAACTTTGTTCAAAGCATGTGGTGTGTACTGCTCCAGGTTTTTATAGTGGAAACTTCTGATGATAAGCAGGCAGTTTTTTAAGCTGTCTGGGTTATTCCTGGAAGAAGAAACACAGCAAGATATTGCTCCCAGTAAAGTCATACAATTGTTTCATCTGTTTGCTTTCAGCTGTGAAATTGTGACATTGTCCTTGCTGTGCATGCCAGTTACCTGAATAAAACAGCTAATTTTGGAATAGGAAGGAGAAAAGGGGAACCCAATCTTAGCAGTTTTCATATACTGAGCAACCGCAGCATAGACAGTTTTGAGACACTGCAGTTGCTGTGTTTATTTCTTTCCAATGTGCCGCTTCCATCTGAGCTGTTTTACATTGGTTGAAATAACTGATGAGAAATCTTGCATCTGTAATGCTCATATATTCCTGAACAGAACCATAGTCCCAGAGATGTTTATAACAGATGACACCATGGAAAGTCTAGTCTATAAGTGAGATGAATGGCTGTGAAATAAACTGACATAAGCAAGAGCCTGCTAGAGTACATCTGCCTTGCAACTGGGCAGCTCTGTGAGGTGGGGCCGGCAGCTGCCCACACTCCATCCCTCACCAGCTGGGACACCATCTCCAGCCATGTTGGGCTTTGTGCCACCTGGCAGCGTGGGCTGCAGGTTCAGTTGTGTATGAGTTGTGCTGTAGGCTACCCCATTAAAGAGAAACTTCAGCAGAGGTGTATATTCTTAATGAAAACTTTCTAAGTGCTCTGATCTGTCACCCCCTGCAGAATTTCTCATTTGCATATGAGGGGAACTATCTCCAGACTTCAGAAACAAACCTACTCTTCTGCCTCTGACTTTCTTAATATTTTCATTCTGTATTTCTCCTCTTCAGTCCTATACTCTGTACCATGTTCTGTACTCTAGTTGTCTAGTTGCAGATTGACATGGAGTCTCTTTTGTAATAAAAATTGAGAAACTTTAGTTATCCTACAAATTCTAAATAATTGGTTCTTACCTTTATTATAGTCAGGGTCTTAGCACAATTCTCTCAAAGGTGGAATTGAATATATTGTCATTTTCAACACTGTATACTGTTTAATTATTTTCTGAGAGCAGAAGTGTTTAAAATCAGTTGAAATTTAAACAAATAATTTAAGATATGTTTATTTTAACAGTAGGAAAGCTGTAAGTTATGGAGCTACAGTCTGTAGCTCCTTCTGTACCTGCAGTCATTTAAGTTTTCAACAGCAGCAGTTAAAAAATAATGGTAGCCAGGTAATCAAAGTATCACAGAATTAACTATAGATATTACTCAGTGGTTTTGTACAAACTAAGCTAAGACCTGAGCTACCTCTAAAGAATGTTATTTGTACCTTATACTATCAAGTTTTTGTTGTTAAAAGTCTTCAACTCTTTATTTTCAGCAAGTCAACAATGGTCTTACGCTTAGTGATCTCCCCCTGCATATGCTGAATAACATCTTATACAGGTTCTCTGATGGCTGGGACATTATTACTCTGGGTCAAGTGACCCCAACTTTGTACATGCTCAGTGAAGACAGGCAGTTGTGGAAAAAACTCTGCCAGTACCATTTTGCGGAAAAGCAGGTAATAAACTCTATCACTTGCATAAACGTGGTCCTTATCTTTGCAATACGGTATACTAATGAAGTGTGAACTTACCCTTTTTGAGATAAAAATACAGCAGTGTGCAGTAATAGTGAAAATGTTCTCTTTTGGGGGGATTGGTTCCTACTAAAAATTGTATTAGCATGTCTGTGAGTTTAGGGTAACTATCAGGCTGTTTCCTTGCATTATTCTAAAAAAATGTCTACCATAAAATGTTTTGGATCTTTTTTATACTACGCAATCACCAACAAGTGCGGTAGAGGATAACTCTAAGGTGTTTCTAATTTTAGTACCTAAAGTAGAACTTGTTTCACTAACCAAGATAGGCAGACAGATTGCTCAAACTTTTAGGCTGCATGAACAGTGTGGTGAAGCCAAAATTGGATTTTTGTGAAAAAGAATAGAACAAATGCTTAAGATTTTGAAATTAGGAACAAAAAGAGGAACAGTATTCTTCTGTCACTTCCTCAAAAAAAGCATTAAAGTAATCTAGGAATGCCTCCAGAACTGTCTTCATTTTCTGACAGTAATATATGCTGGGACAAAATCGGACTAGGTGAAAATAAAGCCATGAAAATAGAAGTTACCTCATCAGAGCTGGAGAAAGAACTGAAAACCTAGTATATTCCAGACTGGAGGAAATGAGAATACGCATTCTTAAATCTGATAGGTTGAAGTGGTACCATTTGATTGGTGACTACCAGATTAAGCATTATTATAACAGGAAAGGTAGAAGTAAAGATCAATTAACTCATGTGCAGTTGACCCAAATAAGAATTTTGGTGAGATGAAAGGCTTTAGAATGAACTTCATTGAGAATACAGACAGACAAAGGCGAACTGAAAAAGCCTTCTTCAGAAGCAGCTCAGAAGAATGCAAGGTGAATTTATGAGGGTAAGATGTTGAGCTTTACGTAGCAGTTCAACGGATTTTGAAGCTGGGTGAGTTAAGCTCAACTGAACAGTGGGAAAAAAATGGTTGTTAGATAAGAAGCTGTTTTACTAAGGTAATGTTGGGAAAAAGACCACTTGAGCATTTCAGTAGAATTAACTAGCCCTGTGCCTTATAAAGGACCGTTGTACACAGTGCTTCCAAAGCATTCCGAAATGTTCACATTCCATTTCTTAATAGGTTATTAATGATAGAAATCTAATGATTTTATTTATTTTCCAATATCAAGTTCTGCTTTTTCTGTTTAAAAGTGTACTACCTTAATAAGCTACAGAATCACATTAGGTTGTTTTTCCTGTCTTCTGTAGTGTATTTGTTGAACCATTGAAACAACCACAAAAACATACTTGATATCTGAAGAGCGCTTTTGGAAAAAACGAGAACTTTGCACAGGGAAGCTATTATAAAATGAAGTGTAGCTGAAATCACAAAGGCAGTGCTATTCTCTCCATTTAGAAATCATCTTCTGAGTGAAGAAAGCCCTTAATGTATTAACATTAATCCACACTGAGTGGAACAGAAGGCTTTTATAAATACATACTTAATAAACCTTGGCTGTGTATTAAGCTGGGGAGAAATAGCCATTGTGCATCAGCTGATCTTTACATGCAGATTATGTCCTTGAGAAGTGCATCAACTACTGATTATTGCTAGCCTTCTAGAAAGATCATAAATAAATGTGAAAAATAATCGTGTATGTACTTATAAAATGAAAGGAAAAGCATTATCTAAATCCATCGTTACTGTCTTAACAGAAACCCACTATTTGTAATGCATAATTTTTTAAAATCTTATTCCTGAGTGGCGTTTTTTAAGTATAAAAATAATTACTTATGGCTCTAAATGTTGTTTTTGTTATGTGGTTCTTGACTAAGAATAATTTCAAGACAGTAGAGTTAAATCAGCTGTGCATGGCCTACTTTTTCTTCGCAAATAGGCACCCTCTTATTTTTAGTGTTTTACCTGCCAGTTTTCGTGGCTAGATCTCTGTCACTCCTTTGCAGAGATGTATGATGTCAGATTATTGACTTCAAAGACTTCCAGTAACAAAACTTCAGTTTAACTACCTCTCCCCCCGGTCCTTTACCTGGTTTGACTCATTCTTTAACAATTTTAAAGGAATATATTAATTTTATGTCCAGTTTTGTAGGCATTTGATTCCATCAGAGAAAGGTCACATTGACTGGAAGCTGATGTACTTTGCACTTCAGAAATATTACCCAATAAAGGAACAGTACGGGGACACCTTGCATTTCTGTCGACACTGTAGTATTCTGTTTTGGAAGGTAAGAGCTTTGAAACAGATAATCAGAAATAAGTTCAAACAGCTACCAGTGATCATCTGAAAGGAAAAATATTAAGATCACCTTGTCAGCTTTCTCATGTGAAATGTGATTGGACAACTAATACCTAACTTTTAAATAATATATTAAACTTGCATATGAAGTCAGTACTAAATTCCAAAGGTTTTTTTTATGTAGTGTTCTTACCTCTTGATATCTGATAACCTCAATACTTTGAATTGCAAGGAGAAGTGCCACGTGGAAAAGAGTTGCACTCTGGGTCTTTTTGTATCTGTTTAATCTTATGCAAAGTTGTTAGGAATTTATATGAAGATAACCATTTTATGACATCCCTTTTCTAATGAAGGCATGGTAATCAATAGGTTTCTAATGAGAACTTATTACTATACTATTCCTACCACACTGGTGTAAAACTCTATTTTTTTTTTATAGTCTTGCTTCTGTCCATGTGAAGCTTGGAGGAATGTTTGAAACGTCAAAACGCATTTTCTGTTAATTTTGATGTTTACCGTGAAGTTTATTCTGTCTCAGAGGATGATTTTAATTTCTGTAGGGCACTTTCATGTTTAACTTGTGTCTGAACCCATAGTCTTGCTTTTACTTTGTGTTGCACCATAATCTAGCCTTCTAGTGAGACTTTAATTTTGCAGCTCAAAGACCAGATATAGGTAGTGCTAAGTGGACAGCAAAGAGCAAGAAATGTTTAAGGAATCTTGGAAAATACTCATATTGTGATTCACAGAAATGTGTTGCTCTTGTGTCATCTTTCTGTGATTTTTAAGAGGAGTTGCATGTCAGTGTGAGGGTGTTTTTTTTTATTTTCTATAGAAAAAAGAAACTTGGCTGTTAAATGGGATAAGCTAGCTTTTGGAGAAGTAGCATGTTACTGAATGATGTTACCTTCAAGTTGAGTATCCTTGATATAACAGGAGCCCTTCCAGGTACTAATATGTCTTGCTAAATTAATAGTAGCAAAGTAGGTAGTCAGAATTGGCTTCTGCTGTGAAAAGCCTGGGCATTTGCTGAAGAACTTGTGTCAAGAATGACTAAGAACTGTTTATTACAGTGGAATAAGTCTTTATCATGTTGCCCAATATGTAGGGTAAAGTTTTTCACTTTGAAAGCAGAAATTTTAAAGGTAAACACACAGCATGCATGTAGGTAGGCAGTTTTGGTATCAGATTTGTTTGGATTGTCTGGCTTTGCTGTGTAAAGGGTTGATGCTTTCTCTCACTCTGATCTTATAGCACTTTAATATTAGGAATGACTAAAATGTGTTTGGAATTAAATGTTTAACTTTGGAGATCCTGTGACAGTAAAACCTTGACATTGAACCTGTGACAGTAAAACCTGCACATTGAACCTGTGCAGGCAGATATCTTGTTACCTTGACTACTCCAGTCTACTACTGGAATAACAGCACTCATTTGGAGGTTTTTAGTGAAACCCAACACAGTAAATTGTAGAGGTACTTTGTTTGGACTGATGAGCAATACCTATTAGATCACCATTCCAGTGCTGACTGCCTCATCCTGGAGATTTGGGCAGGTCTTAAAGTGACAGTGGGGTTATGGATTAATTGCATGCTTTTCCTAAAATTCCATAGCAGGTGTTTGGGATTGTTTTTTTAACAAGAGTGCAGTCAGCAGGTTGACAAAAGTGATTACCCCTTTTCACTTGGCACTTATCTGGGATACTGGATCCAGCTGGTGTCCCTAACACTGATAAACTGGATGGAGTTCAGGTGAGGGCCAAATAATCAGGGAGGCTTGAGGACTAGCCCTGTGAGGAGAGGCTGAAGAACACCACTTCAGAGGAGCGCCAGAGCCTGCCATGAGGACAGCCAAGCAAAGGGAATGGTTTGACTGTAGAGGTTGTGCAGTTTCACAGAGTTTTCAGAGTTGGAAGGGACCTCTAGAGATCATCTAGTCCAACGCCCCTGCTAAAGCAGGATTGCCCAGAGCACATTACTCAGGACTGCATCCAGGCGGGTCTTGAAAATCTCCAGAGAAGGGGACTCCACACCCTCCCTGGGCAGCCTGTGCCAGTGCTCTGTCACCTGAACTGTAAAGAAGTTTTTCCGTGTGTTGGAACAGAACTTCCTATGTTCCAACTTGTGCCCATTGCCCCTTGTCCTGTCACTGGGAACCACTGAGAAGAGTCTGGCTCCATCCTCCTTCAACCCACCCTTTAGATATTTGTAAGTAGTAATAAGGTCTCCCCTCAGCCTTCTCTTCTCCAGGCTAAAGAGTCCCAGCTCTCTCAGCCTTTCTTCATAAGGGAGATGCTCCAATCCCTCAATCATCTTGGTTGCCCTTCGCTGGACTCTTTCCAGCAGTTCCCTGTCCCTTTTGAACTGGGGAGCCCAAAACGGGACACAGTATTCCAGTTGTGGCCTCACCAGTGCTGAGTAGAGGGGGAGAATGACCTCCCTCGACCTACTGGACACACTCTTCCCTATGCAGCCCAGGATTCCATCCTTGGATGTTTTCAAGACCTGACTGGATAAAGCTTGGAGCGATCTGGTTTGATCTCGTAGCTCACCCTGCTTTGAGCAGGAGGCTGGACTACAGACCTCCGGAGGTGCCTCCCAACCTGATTATGCTGCAAGTCTGCATTACAGTTTTCCTTCTCTAGGTCTTAGAATCTGAGCCTTGTTCCTATCTTAAAATAAATGTTTGATCAGGCTGAAATAGATTGTTAAATGAATTGATTTCTACGCAACTGGCATCCCTATTGGCAGGGACACTACGAGAGGTTAATCACCAGTCTGAAAAACAGTCCCTTTGTTTACAGGGCAATGTGGGTACAGTAGTGCTTAGTCACTCTGAGTTACGTGGGGGGAAAAGTAGTTCTGCTTTTTCATGCACTTGTATCTATATCCTTTCCCGAGCTTTCTAAACAAAGATAAACAAAGGGGGAGTGAGGGGAGCTTTATTAGTTCCAGAAAAATTCTGTGCTAGGTGAAAATATTTCTTAACAAAAAAGAACTTTCACAATTCATTCAAGCTTCAGTATCATACTTGATTAGACAGATTATTAAATGAAATGTATGAGTGGTTGATATATAATCGTGTCTGTAATGTACGAACTTTTGGTTCTCAACCGAAGCTTTTACTCTTCAAAATTTCATTGCATGTATATCCAAAAAAAAAACCCACCCCAAAACCAACAAACCACCAAACCCAAACTTTAAAAGAGAAATCACAGTTACTTTACAGATGAAAAAGTAGCAAGTGTTTGAATCTTGAAACAAATGGAAGCACTGGATTATTCACATAGTTTATAATATGGAAGAATTTAGCTTCTTGTTGTAATGGTACACTTCAAAAATCAGGCAGCTTTTGCTTTCAGGGGCATTCAGAAGAACTTCAGGCAATGTGCAGAACACTTTTTGGTATTGCACTTGTGGGTTTTCTTGTTTATTTTTTTTTCCTCCCTCTCTTCTCATTAAGAACAAAGCAAAACATTTGAATAGTTGCAGAGGAAAAAATACTGAAGTGATGAAGACATGAGGATGACTAGCAGACGTTAACTTCTTTTAACTTAGCTGTATTAAAGCTAATAAGGAATGCAAGTGCCCTCCATGAAGTCTTCTCAGAGACAGAGAAGGGATGAATAAACATGAGACTATGTAAGGAAATTATTTAAGATAAGGGCCAGCCTTGATGCAAATGAGTTGTAGAAACTAGTTGTGGGTAAACTTATGCTGAGAGTGAAGAGTTTCAAAGAACCAAAGCAGCGAGGTTCTGAAATAGCCCCAAAGCACAGGCCGAACTGGTGATGAGAAGAATTTTCATCAGTTTATGAAATTGATAATAGAATGTAATTGCTGGCCACATGAGGGCTATACTTGATGACCTAGGAAATTTTCAGTCCTGCATTTTGTGTCCTTTTAAAGAAGACTTTGAAAGGAAGGGACTGATGGCTACTGAATTGAATTAACAAGCAGTTTGAGTAGGGAAATGTCTTCTCACTTTTCAGTATGCTATAATAATCTTAGTGTTACTTTTAACAAGTCTTTAAGAGCTTGTCAGGCATTTGTATTCCTGTATTTGTTTAAAACCTGTAATCATAGTAATGTTAAATACAATAAGAAGGAATCAGTCATAAAATCATATACGTTAGAAAATACTTTTAAGGTCATTGAGTCCAACCAGTTCCTAAATTCATTGTAGGAAGTACAGCGATATAATAGAACATCTTGTACTCTTCTGTGTTAAAGGAGGGAATGATTGTAAGAAACTCTTCATATCGAATGTCTTTCAGAAGTGATTTATTGGTAAAGGATTTGTCTATGATGAAAGTGAAGAAGAATATGTAATTTCAGTAGTAGAAAAGTAATGGCAAACTAATTATTGACCGATGCCTCTGTGAATGCTTTTTATGTATACTATTTCTTCTGTTCCCCTAGGCCGCACTGCAACTGGGGGGCAGTTCTTTTATTTTCTTGGTTCACTCAGTGGCACATTTCAGTTATCCTAGAGATGGCCACAGAAGTTGAAATACCTTTTCTTCTTTCAATATCCAGGGCTTTATGTAACTTAGTGTAATTGTTTTGTGATATGCTTCACACTTGGTTTTAGTTGTCTTGGGGCTTGTGCTGGTTTTGGTTCTCCAGCTGCTTGATTTTGCCAAGAATAAAAGAGTATTTTTCTACATGGCACATGAACCATAGCTTCAATAAACCTTAACTCTGCTTCTTTTACTTTACGGCTCTCCTTCCTGCTTCCTTCTTCATGATCTCAAAGGACTACCACCTTGCTTTGTTACTCAAGGTATTTCCTGTGTGTCTCTTCTGTTTCATTGTGTACTGTTCTGTAATGTCAAAGGGAATAACGTGTTCATTTCTAATTGTTTGATACTCTTTGTTTTGATTTTATTTCCCCACATCAATTTAGCAGTAGGAATACTTTTGTTTCTTGTTTCCCTATTAGTAATGAATTAGTAGTGATGACTTCTCATCTCCAGTTTTTCATCAGATTTGGTTTTTATTATTGCCCTGTTCCCTGTTAATGCCATTTAAACTAGGGACTGTAATTCAGCTTCTAATGAGCATGGTGCATAGTGTCAGTGAGATCAGCCAGATTTTGCTAAGAAATAGGTTTCTCTGCACTTAGTGTTACAAACTGTTTCCACACTCCCTGATGTATTTAATTCAGTACTTAAATCTGAAAAGAGTAAAATGAACCTCAGATAACTTTCTTTAATGCAAAGGTACTAAAATTGATTTTACTGCACTTGGAATGCTGTAGTCCTACATGCTTTTATGAAAGAGTCTCTCAGAAGAGAAATTCTCAAAGCAGGCTGCATGTGACTTGGGAGAGTGGGGGGAGGCAGGCAAGTATAACGTTGCTTTCTGAATGAAGAAAGGGTGGAAATAACTATACAGAAAAGGACTGTTGCTCCAAAGTTATTGCGGGAGCTTCTTAATGTCTAGTTACTATCAAATTTGAGGAGGAAAACAACTACATTTGCCAGTAAACACTCCTCCTGGTGAATTCTTTTGTTAATTGAAAAGAATTCTGTTTCAGCTTTAAGTAGACACATTGAAAATAAATATGATTTGAATATTATTTATTAAATGTAATTTCAAGGGAAGTACATATTGCTATTTCTGTTGGTTTTAATAACTAAAAACCCCAAGAACTGGTCTTACTGAGATTTGGACCTGTAATTCCTGACTGAGCAGAGCTTTCAAAAGTGTTTTTATGATGAGATGCAGAGCAAAACAGATAGCATGTTACAAATTCCGTCTAAAATATTTTGGAGTATAAATAAGCACTAAAAGGGGATAAATCGTAGCTTCCTTCCCACAATCTTAATTCTGATGGTGTTTTTTGCTGGAAACTAGGAAAGTAATGACATGACAAGACACTGACACAGCAATGGGTAGAGAAGATGATCATTACTACCTGTGAGAGTGTTTTCTGCTGAGGTGCATCTCTTCCTTGCAGATGTGGTCTCAAGATGAAGATGTTAGGTTTAACACTTCTGGTCTTAGTCTTCTGTGCATTCTCATCTGCAACTTCCCCAGACAGGCAGCTCTACCTGAGCTCTAATCTATTTGATCATTCTTTCTTTGTTTTTCCACCTGTGTGTCAAGAATGTAACAACTGGTTCTCAGGTGCTGTTAAAGCAATTATTTAAAAAGTGGGAGGATGAGAAGGTGTTACCACATGGTATTTTCATGTAGTTTTCTATAGACTTAATAAAAAATACAGATATCTATAGAGTAACAATTTTCATTGGGAAAGCTGAGTAGTATTTAGCATGTGTTTCACCTGGTGCACTTTGGTGTTGCAAAGACTTTGGAAGGGAATGTGGCATCTTTGATAGCACTTTTCTTACATAAGTTTCCAAGTGAGAAAAAAAATTTCACTTGCAGGTTCTTTCCTTCTATTAACTGAATTGCATGTAACTTAGTTTCCTATGGAAAGGAAAGAAATGAAGACTGCAGTGGTCTGTGATCTACTTACCAAGCGTTTACTCTAGTTTTCTTGCCCCACATGGTGAATTCATCAATATAGTGATGGAAAAGGGGAGAGAACCCCTTAAAACCTGTAGAGGACAGTTTCTGAGCCTCACAACACTATTGATCAAGGTGTTTAACCTCTCCATTGAACTATCTGGGATGATGTTCTCATTACACCTCTAACATTTCCTTCCTTTAGAGGGTTCTAATAAGGTGAAAAACTGAACTTTTAATTTGAAAAGGAATTGGACTCTTAATCAGACAATTTTGTTAAGTTCAAGTTTCTGTATTATTAAAGACAGCACTGCATGCTTAGTGAATTTGTAATGACAAAGCCTTTCCATCCTGTCCATCTTCTATAGTCCTAACTTGCCTGGGTGCTAACTTCTGTTTTCAGGCAATGCTTTCAGGTGAGGAAAAGGTAGGAGTGAAAGAAGAGAAAAAGATGTTGGGGGGGCAAAAGAAAAACAAGCAAGGTAGAAAAACTTTGGTGACTGGGATTTCAAACATGCTGTTCAGGGGTTTTTTTTTGCGGGGGTGGGGGAGGGGAGTGGGGGAGGGGTCTGCTGCCCTTCACTTTGAAAGCAAGGAGCTCATTTCCCACCCTGAAGTAGTAGTTGATTTCAGATTTTGATTCACCAGATAATTTAGGTTCAACAAAGCATTTTTTTTTTAATTACACTTAACAAAAAATAACGGAAAAGGACTAAGAAACTTTTAAAGAGCACTGACTCAGATCCTGGTTTTGGTAGGGTGGAGAGGGGTTGTTTGTGTGTTTTGTGGGATTTTTTGGTTTGGGTGTTTGGTTTATTTTCCTGAAATCTGAAGCTACCCTGCACTACCACAGTCAAACTGGAAAGGCCTGTTTTCTTAACAAATTAGTCTAAAACAGTTAAAGAAATACAGTGAATTCTTAAAAAGAGCAAGTTCCTATCCATTTGTTTACAGTGGAAGTAGTTGTGTGTGCCTATATATAAATTTTTGCCCTTTTTTTTTTTTTAATTGGGGGTGGAGGGGGATTGCAGGTATAGAACAAAAACTTACTTTTTTTTTTCCCCCTCCTTCATTTTGCAGGATACAGGACACCCCTGCACAGCCAGTGATCCAGACACCTGTCTCATGCCAGTATCTCCTCAGCATTTCATTGATCTCTTCAAATTTTGAGATGTTCAGTAGCTGTTCTGTGTTTTGTGGCCATTTTTGTGAAGAGTCAGGCAGGATTTGTTATGCTTTTTTGTGCAATATATTTAAGTGTAATGTTTTGTTGTAGTTTAAAACAAAAGATATGGGGGAGATTATCAGACAGGCTTATTTGGCATACTGTTTTTGTGCAGAAAAAAGCTGAGGAGAAGGAGACAAATTAAGAAAACTTCATTGTCAGGAACTCTGCAGTGGACTTTTTTTTCAAGTCCAAGAAAGATCATTTTAATCTCAACAATCTCAACTTTAAATCCAATCTTTTGACGCCTTAATAGTTGGTTAAAATTATGTGGGGGAGTTGTGAAAATTTCATGGAAGAGTTAAACTACTCTTATAGGGACCAAAGGAGGGGTTTTTTGTTAATCCTTCTTTCTTTAAGCCACTTTTTCCAAACACCTCCATATAATTTGCACTATTATAAAGAACAGGGAAATATTCTCTCAGACTCTTAATACATCAGTTACCAAGGTGGCATTAATCATGGTGAGCTAGTGAATAAAATGTAGCTGTGGTTATATCTGTTGTTGAACCTATGAATGAAGGAAACCAACCAATCTTTGTACATACATTATGCAAAAATATTTATTTTTCTTAAGGACTTTATTAAGCATATAACCTATCTCAGCGCATCCTGTGTAACTCAAGAGACAGATCTGGGGCTACTGGAAAGTAATTTTTTTGATGGTAGCTATAGCATTCATTTATACTGTTTGGTATATCTCCAAATGCAACTGCATTAATTCATCTTCTAAGAAGAAGACTTTTTTGAAATTTAATGAGAATGGAGTTGCTTGTTTCTAGACTGGTACAGCGGCAGGACATTATACTACCAACTTGAGGTTCTAACCTGACAAGTCTTGACAAGCTATGGGAAACACTGACAGCCAGTCTGAGCTGAAGCACCTTCTGCCAAGTTAATCAGACGATAAATTCTCCAGGAAGCTATTTTCTTCTATCCTGTAGAACAAAATTAATTTCTTGGCTTAGGCAGGTAAAGGAAAAATTGGGGAAGTTTTGGGTTTGTCAATGAAATTTAACAAATAATATGTAATGTACAGAAAAAATAAATCATGTACTATATTCTGCATTTGCTTGTTCTGAATCTAGTTTTGTACAGTGTAATAAATCATGTTTTTTATCTATTATTCCTAGAAGTCTCTTGTGCATAGAGATGAATCCATTTGAATTTTATAAGATCTTTCTGAAACCTGTTCTCTGTAGTAATTGGTAATGGAACGAGCACACAAGCAGTCAAAGTGACATTGCTTTTTAGTAATTGGGTTTATTAGCACTTTTTTTTAATAGGATAGCTGGATTGTTAATAGTCTGCACAAGAGGAGGAGAGTATTTATTTCCTCAGGAGATAGTTTTATTTGCTTTAACTTAAATTTCAGTGTTATACCAACCTTATCCATTGAATTTGCTGATAGGTGGATTTTTCAATACAGGGTTTTGTGGGTTTTTTTTCTTTCTTTCAATTAAGGTATCTGCTCTGGCTATGGTAAGGATCAGGTGTGGAGCCAGTGACATCCATTCTTATTCATGTTCATTCAGAATGTTGCTGCAAGCCTTACTTTCCTAGCCCAAGCACCACTGTAGCCACTGGAATTGTAAGGGAACCAGCAGCTCTTCTTTAACAACAGTTTGCACCTCATTTATTTTGTTTAATGGTTGCAGACCTGCTTTCCTGCCTGTGTGACCGAGGTAACCGTGACAGTGGTTGGTGATGGCTGGCATCCATTAACTGCTCCTTTACCGCGGTTACAGTTTTGCTACCTTTCAGGAAACTTCCTGTCAATATCTACATGGATGCTACTTGCTTTCTTTGAGAGCTTTAAAGAAAGGTTCTGAAGTCAGCATTTGGTTTAATACTGTGCTGAGCTCTTCATCCATTGTGCTGACTCAAGGTCTTTGAGCAGGGACAGCAAGAATGCAGGCTCTTCAGGGACACACCACCACCTACTGAAGATGCAAATAATGTGAGAATCGGGGAAGGGCATTAAGATTGCTGAGAGGGAGCTCCCTTAGCCTCTAAATTGAGCAGAGAGATGTGACTTAAAATGATTTGGAAAAATCTATGTCCACAACAACTAATTTTCAGTCCTTTTACAAATGACAGGCTGAAAGACAGGTTCTGAGACATTTTCTGGTGTAAGCCATTAAGGGTCTGAGGTGGCAGTATCCAAGATGTACGTACTACCTTGTAGTCCTGTACTCTAGAGGCTTCATTCTATAGTCACAGAATGGTTGACGGTGGAAGGGACCTCCCTGCTCAAGCAGGGTTAGCTAGACCCAGTTGCCCAGGACCATGTCCAGGCAGTTTTTTAGTATCTCCAAGGATGAAGAGTCCACAACCTCTCTGGGCAACCTGCGCCAGTGTTCTGTACCCTCACAGTAAAGTGTTTCCTGATGTTCAGACAGCACCTCCTGTGTTTCAGTTTGTGCCTGTTGCCTGTCGTCCTTTCAGTGGAGCCCAGTGACAAGAGCCTGGCTCCATCTTCCCACCCTTCCTTCAGCTATGTATTGCTGAGATCCCCCCTGAGCCTTGTCTTCCCTAGGCTGAACAGTCCCAGCTCTCTCAGCCTTTCCTCCTAGGAGAGATGCTCCAGTGCCTTCATCATCCCCGTGACCCTTTGCTGGACTCTCTCCAGCCTGTCCATGTCTCTCTCATACTGAGGAGCTCCGAACTGGACCCAGCACTCCAGGTGGGCCCTCACCAGAAGAGGGGAAGGGCCATCTTGCTCCACCTGCTGGCAATACTCCTCATGCAGCCCAGTATACCATTAACCTTATTTGTGGCAAGGGCACATTGCTTGGCTCATGGTTCTACTTGGTGTCCACCAGAACACCAGTAAGGTGGCTTTTTAAACCTCAGGTTAAAAAAAAAAAAGGGGGGGCGGGGGGAGAAGAGACATGTGTCCATGTGCCCTGGGAAGCATATCAATGCATGGCTAATAGAGTATTTTTTTTAAATCTTAAAGATTTTGAGTGCAGAATTGTGCTATCATGAGCACTGTTATAAGCACTTAACACTCAGCAAAACTGAGCTTAGGGAGTCGTTCCACAAGCTAGTTAAATATTTAATGGATATGTCTTAGACTTGGCAAGTACCAGAGCTTGATTAAAAGTGACTGCATGGTGTGAAGTCATCAGCACATAAGAAGATACATTTTAATTGTGTCGCCTCAGCAAAAAGCTCAGGCACTGATTTTGATCAATAGGATTTTTGTGAGTTTGTGGGTTTTTTTTTAATCTCTTCTTGAGCTGGAAAGGGGAGAGGAGTTTACCTTCATGATAATGATCTTGTTAATAAATACCTCACCTGTAGTAAAGAACCTGTTTTGACAACCTGAATTAATCTCATTGCCCTTTACACCACTACTTACTCATGTCACCGGGTATTGTAACCCATGAGAAGAGTTATGCCTTAGAGAAAACATCCACTCTTTGGCCTCCTGTGTCCTGTCTGTCCTGCACAAAGAATTTTAGGTGCTCTCTCCTAAAGGGGAAACTGTGCCTTGAAATGTGTACCAAATCACCGCAGGGTTTGTTTGCTCTACAGCTTTTATCCCAAGACCTGGACCTGTTTATATATAAATTTTGCAGTGGTGGTGATAGGAAACCATGTTCTAACTGTGGCCCCTACATGATCACTTTACGGTCTCAGGTGATTTGGGGTGTGTTTTATTCATCCTGAAAAACAACACTGATTCAAAGCCAATCAAGACATTCTCTGCCACAGTCCACAAAGAGCTTGAAATAACAATTTTGAAAAAAAGGCTCTTCTGTCCACCTCCCAAACACCTTCCCCACCCCCAGTCATTATCTCCAAAACCCATCTCTGAGACACTCCAGCCCTGTTGGAATACATTCTCTCCCAACAGTTTTATTCTCCTGTTTCTGGGAAAAGATGCTAAAGACAGCAGATGTGGACCTGTTCAGAGAGCACCGAGTGAACCCTTCTCCTTCTATTTGGATGTCGGACAGGACTGAAGTTCTTACCTGGCAAAAGCAGAGGAGCAAAACCCTCCTCTTTTCCTTTCCCCTGCTCCCCATCCCTGGGAAATGATTAAACTCACTTCTGGAGAAGGAAGAAGCTGAAATGTCAGAAAAAACCCTGGCTCAGGCTCAGAGATACCCACCAGGAACAGGACTGAAGGACTAGTGGCATTCTGTGGTGTGGAAGGCAGAAGCAACGCAGACTGGCAGAAAGGAGAGGGGGGAATGGAGAACAGTAGCACAACATTTTGGATTTGCCTGGTGCACAAATTAGCATAGCTACAGCTCCAGCACTGGCAAAGAAAGAATTGTATTAGTTGAAGTCTTACATATGAGCATGTTTTTGAACCAATAAAGTAATTCATACACTTGTAGAGAAAGGAGGCAATGAGTAAGAGGAAATATTTATTATTTTTACATTATGCTATTGCTTTCAACCTCTAAGTCTTGGCATATATATGCCTTTGTAGGTATAGAATGAGAGCGAGGCATATTTCTTAAGCCTCATCACTTGAAGTCAGGCAGTTGCACCAGCAGCTGATTTCATCAAAAACCTTCAAACGTTACAAAATCAGTCACAGATATTTTAGCATTTTATACTTAGAAGTCCTGTAACCCAAGTTTAACCAAGTACTTCATAGCTTCTTAGAGAAGACCCAAGAAGTCACCCTGCAAAGGCGAGGGAGAAACAGGACACTAAGCCACACAGCACACTGAAAACGGCATCAGGTGTTTAACTTTTGACCAGCGAGAGAGAGTGAGACTGAACTCCAGCAAGGTCGAACATGGGAATCATCTTCTGGGAGCTTATCACCCACACTCTTTGAAAAGCTGAGCAGAGCTTCTCATATAGATCTTGATCAATAGGGTTTTTGATTTTGATCAATAGGGTTTGTGTTGTGTTTGGGGTTTTTTGTTTGTTTGTTTGTTTTTAATCTCTTCATGAGCTGGAAAGGGGAGAGGATTTCACCTTCACGATAGTCATCTTGTTAATAAATACCTCACCCATAGTAAAAAATGTATTTTGACAACCTGAATTAATCTCATTGCCCTTTACACCACCACTTACTCATGTAGCTCTTTCAAAGTCCATGAGAGGTC